TAACTTTTTAAAAATTATAGGACTGGGGTGTGGTGGCTCACACCTGTAATCCTAGCCAAGGTGGGAGAATCACTTGAGTCCAGGAGTTCAAGATAAGCCTGGGCAACATGGAGAGACCCCATCTCTTCAAAAAATAAATAATAATAAAGAAAAAAGTTATAGCCATCCTAGTAGGTATGAAGTGGTACTCATTATGTTTTTTAAAAAATTGGTTGGACATGGTGGCTCACACCTGTAATTCCAGCACTTTGGGAGGCCGAGGTAGGTGAATCACTTGCGATCAGGAGTTTGAGACCAGCCTGTCCAACGTTGTGAAACCCTGTCTTTACTAAAAAAAAGAAAATACAAAAATTAGCTGGGCGTGGTGGCAGATACCTGTAATCCCAGCTACTTGGGAGGCTAAGGCTGGAGAATCTCTTGAACCTGGGAGGCAGGGGTTGTAGTGAGCCAAGGTTGTGTCACTGCACTCCAGCCTGGGCCACAGAATGAGACTCCCATCTCAAAAAAAAAAAAAAAAAATTACTATTTTTAAAACGTTCAGCTATCTGTACCAGATCATTGTGGTCCTAGTGTATCTTCTTGATGACTAATAATGTTGACTATTTTTCATGTGCTTCTGGTCATTTGTGTATTTTCTTTTGAAAAATGTCTGTTCATGTATCAACCACTTGGGAGGCTGAGGCAGAAGGATCACTTGAGCCTGGGAGATCAAGGCTGCAGTGAGCTATAATTATGCCTCTGCACTCCAGCCTTGGTGAGACCCTGTCCCCCACCAAAACATTTTTTTGTTTTGATAAAGTTCTTTTTTTTTTTTTTTTTTGAGACAAAGTTTTGCTCTTGTTGCCCAGGCTGGAATGTAATGGCTCAATCTTGGCTCACAGCAACCTCCACCTCCCAGGTTCAAGCAATTCTTCTGCCTCAGCTTCCCAAGTAGCTGGGATTACAGGCATGCACCACCATGCCCAGCTAATATTTTGTATTTTTAGTAGAGACAGGGTTTCTTCATGGTGGTCAGGCTAGTCTCAAACTCCCAACCTCAGGTGACTCACCTGCCTCAGTGCTGGGATTACAGGCATGAGCCACCATGCTCAGTCCAATTTGCCTATTTTTAAAGTTTTTGTTGTTTGTGCTTTTACTGTCATATCTAGGAAACTATTGTCTAATCCAAGGTGGTGAAGATTTACACCTGTGTTTTCTCCTAAGCATTGTAGAGTTTTTGTTGATCCATTTTGAGTTAATACTCCTACGTGGTGTGAGGTAGTGGACCGACATTCTTTTGCATGTGGGTATCTAATTGTCCCAGCAGCATTTGTTGAAAAAAACTATTCTTTCCTCATTGAATTGTCTAAGCATCTCTGTCAAAAATCAATTGGCCATAGATGTATGAGCTTATTTCTATACCTTCAATTTCATTTCATTGATCTATATGTCTATCTTTATGCCAGTACCACACTGTCTGCATTACTGGCCCTTTGAAGTAGTTTTGAAATCAGGAAATGTGAGTCCTTCCATTTTGTGCCTTTTTCATCATTTATTTTTTGCTATTCTGGGCCCCTTGAATTTTTCTATGAATTTTAGCATCAGCTTATCAATTTCTCTAAAAAAAAAAAAAAGAAGCTGGAATTTGATAGATTGCCTTGAGGCTAACGCCCTTTTCGGCATTAGCCCACCTGCACCCAGGTGAAATTATTTTTTTTAAAAAAAAGATTGGGCCGGGCACAGTGGCTCACGCCTATAATCCCAGTACTTTGGGAGGCCGAGGCGGGTGGATCATGGGGTCAAGAGATCGAGACCATCCTGGTCAACATGGTGAAACCCCCTCTCTACTAAAAATACAAAAAATTAGCTGGGCATGGTGGTTCGTGCCTGTAATCCCAGCTACTCGGGAGGCTGAGGCAGGAGAATTGCCTGAACCCAGAAGGCGGAGGTTGCGGTGAGCCAAGATCGAGCCATTGCACTCCAGCCTGGGTAACAAGAGCGAAACTCCGTCTCAAAAAAAAAAAGATTGCCTTGAATCTGTAGATCAATTTTGGGAGTATGACCACATTAACAATATTGTCTTTAATCCATGAACATGGGATTTCTTATTTATTTAGTAGGTCTTCTTTAATTTCTTTCAATAGCATTTTGTAATTTTCAGTGTACCATTCTTACATACTTATATGGTTAAATTTATTCCTATTTGTTCTTTTTGGTGTTGTTATAAGTGGAATTCTTTAATTTCATTTTCAAATTATTCATTTCTAGTTTAATTTTATTTTTGCAAATTGACATTATTATATCCTGCAACCTGGCTGAACTCATTAGCTTTAATATGTGTATGTGTGTGTATTCTTTAAGATTTTCTGTATAGTCATGTCATCTGCAAATAGAGATAGTTCTTCCTTTCCAATTTAGATGCCTCTTCTTTTTCTATCCTGGCAGACATCTTTAGGAACTATCTTGGTTCTTCCAGGGAAAAGTGAAAAAACTGGTGGCCATTTGGGCATTGGAAATTTTACTTCCATGCTCTTCTCCATTATTATCTTAATTTGTTTTTTGTCCTTTTGTCCCATGGTTAATCTTAATTTCAAAACAGAACCTTAATTTCTTTATACCTTTCCATATAAAACATACCAAAATCAGGGTTCATTATTTCGTTCCCCTAAAAGCTCTTATTCTACAAATCACCCTTTCAGGTAAGCTCATCACATATTCCCTGTCTTGAATTCAACTGACCCTGTTCATCAACCCTTTTCCAGCTCTATATGTCTTTTTTCTTCTTCCTCTTTGGAACTTTTGCAGCTAATAATAAGGAAACAGCTCCAGGGTGAAATAACGAACATGCAAAATACAGATTCCTGGAGGAAACACAGAGGTGTGTGTAATCAGAGGGAGCTCAACTGTGAAATAAGAGGATATAAGAAAGTAGCAAAGGCCACGTGTGTTGGTGCGCACCTGTAGCCCCAGTTACTTGGGAGGCTGTGGCAGGAGGATCTCTTGATCCTAATAGTTAAATGCTGCAGTGAGCCATGATTGCACCACTGCACTCCAGCCTGGGTGACACAGCAGGACCCTGTCTGAAACAAAAAAAACAGAAAGCAGCAAAGAGCACAGTGAGGATAAATTATTTAAAATGAGGCTGCATGTGGTGGCTCACGCTTGTAATCCCAGCACTTTGGGAGGCTGAGGCAGGTCAGGAGCTCGAGACCAGCATGGCCAACATGGCAAAACCCTGTCTCTACTAAAAATACAAAAAGTAGTCAGGCAGGTGTGGTGGCAGATGCCTGTTATCACAGCTACTTGGGAGGCTGAAGCAGAAGAATCGCTTGAACTTGGGAGTCGGAGGTTGCAGTGAGCCAAGATGGAGCCACTGTACTCCAGGCTGGGCAACAGAGGGAGACTCTGTCTCAAAAATAAAAAATAAGTAAGTAAATTAGATCCCAGTTAATGGGAAACAACATGGAGACTTGGAAGAAACTTGCAGTTACTTACAGAATGACTGAAAAAATACTCTGGCTTGAACACGTTAAGCAAAATAGAGAGGGAAAGGGACTCATGGTAGAAAGCCAGATATTGATGAAGAAAACATCACCATTAAGGTCTAGCAAGGCCTCCATGTACATAGTTTTGAGTTTGGATTCTCTGAATTACTCTGAGAGACTTGTGCTTCTTCTCCAAGGTGAGGGCAACCTTAGATTAGAAAGCAAGGTGAGTTGGCAGAATTGGCTCTGGGGAGCTCTTAGAAACCCAGGTATTGGTCAAGGTGGCTCCTGATGGAATATGGAGCTTCTTTAAACTCTAAAAAAAACTCTGCCTTCTTTTTTCCGTAGGAGGATTATCAGATAAAGTAGTAAAAGCTAGGCTGGGTGTGGTGGCTCACACCTGTTATCCCAGCACTTTGGGAGGCTGAGGTGGGAGGATTGCTTGAGCCCAGGAGTTTGAGACAAGCCTAGCCAATATAGTGAGACCTGTCTCTTTAAAAATAAAACTAAACAATTAGCCAGGCACGGTGGCACATGCCTGTAGTCTCAGCTGCTCGGGAGGCAGCTGAGAATCACTTGTGACTAGGAGTTGAGGCTGCAGTGAGTTACGATCACACCACTGCACTCCAGCCTGGGCAACAGAGCAAGACCCTATCTTAAAAAAAAAAAAAAAAACAATTTTCAAAGTATTAAAAGCTAAAAGGAAAAACCAAAACCGTTTCCACTTTGTGCACCTGTGAGCATGAAACCCTCTGCTCCAGGAACATATAAGCCTTCTCTTCGATTGGTTTTCCTTTCTTCCTGCTGTTGTGCATATCAGCATTCTCAAGCAGCCATTTTATTCCCTGCAGGCGACTACATTTCAGAAACAGGAAAGAGCTGGACTGCCCAGCCTGGGTTGCAAGGTAAAGAACTGCTTTTGACCAGGTGTGGCGGCTCATGCCTGTAATCTCAGCACTTTGAGAGGCCAAGGCAGGTGGATCACCTGAGGTCAGGTGTTCGAGACCAGCCTGATCAACATGGGGAAACCCTGTCTCTAGTAAAAATACAAAATTAACTGGGTGTGGTGGTACATGCCTGTAATTCCAGCTACTTGGAAGACTGAGGCAGGAGAATTCTTGAACTGGAGGCAGAGGTTGTAGCGAGGCATTGCACTCCAGCCTGGGAAACAAGAGCGAAACTGTCTCAAAAAACAAACAAACAAAAAGAACTGCTTTCCCAGGGAGTGCTTCTCCTGCTGGTCTCTTCCTCTCCCAGTATCTCTATCTTAGGTCTCTGTGCCCGAACACGTGACACATCTGAGAACCCTGGCACTTCTCCAGGCTCAAGTTGCCAGCTGGTGTTAATGTTTGATTTAATGGCAGCAGACTCCTGGCTTCCTGCTTCCCAGAGTTTAACCTAAAGTTACCTTTAGGACAGCAGGGCAGGTTACTGGGGTATGAGTCAACCATTGTAACTTCTGTCTTCTATACTCTTGAAGGTACAGACATAGATAGAAGCCAATCACAGCCAAAAAAACTCCCAGACCCAGTGCAATCAGATTCACTTCACTTTTATTATGAACAAACACAATCCAGATCAGTACAACTAACTTCAGAGTTGATATTAATAGAAATTATTCCAAAATTATTTTGTCACAAATAACTACTATCCCACATAAAAGGGGAAAAATCCCACCAAATCAAAGAAAAGGTATCCTGCGTATGTTTCCATGGCAATGAGTTTATGCATTCTCAAATTTTCTTCTGGCTAGTTATCTACCACTTCTCCAGTGGATTCATTCAATCTCTTGGAGAACCATAGACTAATGAAACTAACAATAGCATCTGGGACACATGGACATAGTAAGTTCATGGTGGACATTGCTATTAAAAAAATACTCAGGTCTTGAGAATTCCTGTGCTGAAGGATCCCAAAATGCTTTATAAAAAGCATTAGTCACGCCTCAAAACTGCCCTTTGAGGTAGGTCAGTATTATTATCCCCATTTTAACAGAAGGAAAACTGAGGCACATTATAGTTAAGTGACTTGCCCAGGGTCACGTAGCAAGTCAATGGCACAGTGGTAGGAGAGGCCCTGGCCTTAACCACAGCAGAGCATTGCCACCTTGCTTTATTTAACCTTTCATGCTGACCCATTTGAGCTACACTTAAAGAGAATACACTCAGGATACTACCAAACCAAAGAGAAAAAATTCCATTTTAAATGCTACGATCATCTTTTAACCTAAAAAAAAAAAATTATAAATCAAATACATTCAAATTACTTCCACCCTTCATCAAATGTGGGCACTTAAGAAAAATAGCCCTAACAAAAAATCTCCAGAATGAAGCCCAGAAGGGAATCCTGCAATTCGTGATACTGACAATCCTCCATTCAGGCCCCTTTTTCTACCAGCCACTTCTGTAGGCTCTCAGGTGCAAAGGGACTCCACAGAGGGAGTGAGGGCAGGCTCATATGCAACACTGATTAGAAAGATGTAAGGCACCGGGTAAGTTGTCAGCACACCCCCAAAGCAAGGACTGTTAGAGATCTAGACTCTTGATCAGATCTGAGTTTCTCATTAATGTGTCGCTTGAATTGAGCTTTAGAATATGGAAAATAGTGTTCCTTACTCAGCAGACAAATCCCCACCCATACCCACACATATATTGGGGCCCTCAGCCTGAGGTCTCCATCCAGCCTTATATAAGGGTCATGGTACAGATCAGATCCATGGCACACGATTACAATAGGAAGAAGTGAAAGTTATTTTTATTGTTCATATATTATCAAGCAGGCATCTGGTGACCTGTGGAATTAGAAGTACCCAGCAGACATTTCCAAGGGGTCACAAGTCAACAGATCTAAACTATACTGATTTTCCCTTAGATTCTTTTCTACTGAGGTGAATAGCTCAAAAGACAAGGATGCCTTTAGTCCAGGCTAACCCCTGTAGCTTCTATGCGATTAACACAGGAAGAAAGGCCCTCCGCCCTTCCACCACTGGGGCTCAACAGTGGACTGAGCGTTTGGTAGTGTACATTTCCAATCTTAATAGAGCAAAGCCAGGCTTCTGCTTTGATGACTGAGGTACAGGGACAGGAGTGGTCCAAGGTTCTAAGACCACTCATGTTCTGTTTCCGTTTTTTTTTCAGACTTCTATACTATTGTCTGCCCTAGGCTGTAGGGAATGCTGGTTAGTTTGCTGAACACTCTGTTCAGCAGGTTTTGTGGTATCTCAAATCCCAAGTCTCAGCCAAACCTTTGCAGTCCACCCTGACTCCAGGGAACAGGGCCTCCTTTCTAGGTGAGGCACTTGGGTTCTTGCCCTTCCAGTGAGGACTGTTTCCTCCTACTTCTATAAGCATTGCACTGCCAGCTGAGAGCACTGACTCAGGCGGGGCAGCCTTACTGAGCAAGCAGGGGGCAATCAGCATGCTCTCTGGTTCTGACCCAGACTGAGGGGACTGAAAACAAACCCTCTTTTGCTCTGTGGCTGGCTCACTGGCTCAACATGAGCGCTTGGCTTGGCCATGCCCCCTGAGAGAGGAGGAGGGAAAGGGGTTCTGGGCCAGAGATGTTTCTGGGAAGGGTTGCCAGCCTTGTCTTGAGCCATCACTGTGGCAGGGGAGCACAGGGTGTAGGTGGAAACATGCCGGAGGCCACGTGAAAGTGGCAGCCAGCTCTACTTTCGAAAGAGAAGCAGTGGTTCAGTGACCCTGAGCATTCTGTCTGCAGGAGGGAGCTGCCTGGACAGCAAGTCATCACCACCTCTGAATACACACAAAGGAGGCTGCCCATCCAGGGAAAGAAGAAAACGTTCAGGGAAGAGAAAGATCTGTTAAGAGAAAAGGGACAGACAGGGTAGAGCCAGGAATCAAGAATCAGGATAGTGAAGAGATTCCTAACCCTGTCCCTAACAGGCAGTTCTATTCATTAGGCTAGATGTTAACAGAGCCAAAAAAAAAAAAAGAAAGAAAAAAGTGAAGGGACCCAACACTGAGGAGAGAAGCCTTCTAGATTTTACCCATTTCAAGGAGAAACTGGAACTAATTAATGAATGGACCTAACATCTAGCTTATTTTATTAAGACTTTCACTAACTCCCTCAGTAACCTTCTCACGCCCTTGGCAATGTGTTCTCAGATCCTTTTCTATATGAAGTTCACTTAGAAGCTGCCTACAGATTCTGTCCCTCAGCCTCTCCATCTCATGTCCAGCAGTGGAGAGGAAACTGGCAGCCCAACTAATTCCTCCTCTCCTTCAGAGTTTTTTCAAACATCCCTCTTTGGAAGGGAAATACTCTAAGTGAAATAGTTTAACGTTCTAAGCAATGTTTATGTATATATATATTTTATGTTTGACCCGACTCCATCTCCTAAAATCTTTCCCTTTTTTGGATGTTTGGAAATGCCACAGCCATCTTCTTACTATGAGGGGAGCAACCAATATGCTGAAGATGGCAGAGCAGAGGAAAGAATTTTGATGAGCAGCTCATGGAATCCTCAAAATTCTGTGAGCTACTGTATTTACCAATTCTGGAATCACCCAACTTCAAGACTTCTTGATAAATGACCTAAGAAATCTCCTTGTCATTAAAGAAAAAAATCCCTTCCCCAGCAGAGACCACTTTTTCTACAAACTTATGTTTCTTCTTTATCCTCAGCCTAAACTATACATTGTGACATTGAGATTAGCATTGCCAAAACTCCATAGCCACTTCTTACTCCAAGCCAGGAGAGAAAGGAAGCATGCTGTGTGGTGGGGCTTGAAGTAGGCAGCTGCATGTCTGATCATGGCAAGAGCTTCCTCTTGCTTCATTTCCCTCGTCCTTACATCCATAGATGCTAACTCCCTCCCCCCACAATTCATCTGCTTTAGAAGCTTTGTGTCAAATGAAGTTACTTTTCCATTCCATCTAGCAAAAGCCTGGGCTGAAGATAATTCACAGGGGGGAACTGCCCAGGTTCTGTTTTATCTCTAGCTTGAGCCACCTGCCCCAAAGCTCACAACAGCTCAAGGAAAGAGAGTTATTTGGAGCAAAGACTATTACTTTTAGGCTACAGAAAGGTTGTCTAGGCTTTGGAAGCTAGACACTGAACAATGACTGATCAGCTGTTTGCCTAGGAAGCAATGAGAGGAGAAAGGAAGGTGATAGCAACAAAGTGAAAGGAGGACAATGGGCTTAGAAGAGAGAGAGGATAGAAGAAAAAATATCAGCTTAGCATCATAAAGACAGAGTTCTTGACTTTCAATACTTTCGCATTTTAAAAGAATACTGTACTGGAACGGGTTAACGTCATCATCTTTAGCATCCTGGTAGCATTATTCAGTAGTTAATAAACAGACATAAAACCTCTGCCTGGCTGACTTTGAAAAAGAACCTGAGGGACCCCAAACTCAGCCACTCTTGTAGCTTCCATCCCCAGTTCTTTTAATCCTGGCCAAGATGGCGGCCTTGGATACTTTCTTCCGGTCGTAGGCCAGACCGAGGAGAGCCATGCAATCAATGAAGAATGTGGTTAAGTTGATGTGCCAGCGGTACTCACTGGCAGAGTAGTCATAGGGAAAGGAGTGGTGGTAGTTGTGGAAGCCCTCACCTGAAACAAAAGCAAGAAGAGATGTTATGGAGTGAGGGTGCATCGAGGTCTTCTTGATTTGTGCATACCAGTTAGCTAGCAGGGTACCTCACACCAAATAGATCCCCTCAGAGGTAACTTTACTTTTATTTTATTATTTTACCTTTTCTGTAGAGATGGTATCTTGCCATGCTGCAAACAACCTTCCCACCTTGACCACCCAAAGTGCTAGGATTACAGTCATGAGTCACTGCACACAGCCAGTGAAAGGCATCTTAAGTAGTGATTGGAGAGACTCTGGCCACCCATGGCTGGCTGGGAGCCTGATGGGAGGAGAACTGACAGTTTCTCGGAGGATACAATGACTAGAGAGAAGCTGCTACTTTTGGGAATGGATTTCAGACTGGAAATTCCAAATTCACTATTGGCCCTGCCTCAAGGCTGTGTGTGTATGTGCCTGTGTCTGCAGAATGACTGTTAGAGAAGGAGTAAAGGAGCACACCTTTCCCCACCGCACTACCTCTAGGGTGGGTGGTTCCTACAGAGGGAGCCCTGCAGCCAAGGGTCAGAAGAAAGGCCAGCCAAAGGCTGGAATCTCCTGAGCCACTGCAGTTCAGAGGTGGGAGGGGTGGCGTGCTGCTCTTTTTTGACCTTTGTCCCTGGTGTAGGGGAGGTGCTGATAAAACAGACACTCTCTGAGGGAAGAAAACTGGAAATGCTTAGAAACTCTCTAACATCTGAGATTCTGAGGACTCTTGGGATGACCATTTCACTTTGCAGGAGGGAGGAAAACAAATTCTGGATTCAGGGCAATTTTTGTAACATGTAAAGCTTTGGAAACTCTACAGATAGAGACTTCACCAACTCTTGGCAGGACTCTTCTTTCTGAACCACGGCCAACAATAATCCTGAATGCAATCAGGCCTGGGTAAAAAACAGCTACTAAGAGCTAATACTGGGCTCTGTGTGGATAAAAATACCCTCAGACAGACCAGTTATGGCATTAATCAGAAGTGAGGGAAGGAGTCCTGCAAAGTAAATGATAACATCCAGGGTATTCCAAGGTATGTCCACCCTCTGTGACACTTGATGATCTGCAGAGTGAATGAGAAGGAGGGGGGTAGAATGCCAGAAATAAAGGTACTGATGATTCTTAATTTCCAATAATGGTTTTGCAGCTGGGCTCTGTGTAAGCACTAGCCAGGCCTTTAGTTACCAGATTTAAAATGGAATCAGATACACAAAGAGACACAGGGAGGGAAAAAAAAAAAAAGAGAAAGAGGGTCAATGGCTAGAAAGAAAACAGGACTTTGCAACTGGGGCAGCAACAGACAGCCCAAGAAAGCCTCAAGGGAGAAGGTTGATTTGGCAGAGATGAGCATGTGACCATGGGGGAGCTAATTCAAGAAACAAAAAGATTAGGGTGGCAGGAAACAGAGCCAGAGGAAACAGAGAGTGAGGTGATGAGGGAGGAAAGCAGCCTGGTAAGGAGGAGTGAATGATAACCAAGAGGCAGCTACTGTGAACCCAGAGGCTAGAGGTAGGGAAGGTCACTAGAGATCCGTTTGCAATACAGGACACGTCTCATGCCAGAAACTCCATTCCTATGATCTCAGATTTATACAGTGTATGTGATTTATTTTAATCATGGGTAAAAGTAAGAATAGGCACAATGGCAAGAAGATGCCTGAAAGGAGCAAGGAGATATATGAAAGTTTAAAAAAGACAGGGAAAAAATTGATTTTATTTTCATTATTGGTTTTTTGAGATGGAGTCTTGCTCTGTCACCCAGGCTTGAGTGCGGTGGCACAATGTTGGCTCACTGAAACCTCCACCACCTGAGTTCAAGCGATTTTCCTGCCTCAGCCTCCTGAGTAGCTGGGACTACAGGTGCGTTCCATCACACCTGGCTAATTTTTTTAATTTTATTTTTTAGTAGAGACAGAGCTTCACTATATTGACCAGACTGATCTCTAACTCCTGAACCTCAAGTGATCCACTCACCTTGGCTTCCCAAAGTGCGAGAATTACAAGTGCTGGAATTACAGGTGTGAGCCACCATGCCTAGACAAATAAATCCTTTTAATAAAGATGGGCCAGTCATGGTGGCACTTTGGAAGGCCAAGGTGGTCAGATCACTCAAGCTCAGGAGTTCGAGACCAGCCTGGGAAACCCGGCAAAACCCTGTCTCTACAAAAAAAAAAAAAAAAAAAAAAAAAAAAAATTAGCCAAGCATGGTGGCATGCACCTGTAGTCCCAGTTACTTGGGAGGTGGAGGCCAGAGGCTCACTTGAACAGAGGAGGTCACAGCTGCAGTGAGCCATGATCACACCATTGTACTCAAACCTGGGCAACAGAGTGAGACTGTCTCAACAACAACAACAACAATTTAAAGGACAGTAAAGATGGTTAAGGTGGAGAATATAAAGGAAGATTTTAAAGAGAAAATGAGTGTAAGGCAATGACCTGCATAGACGTGTATAGTAGTACAGTTGTCTAGATATTATCGAAGGACTAATAGCACCAGTTGCTGGAGAGAAGAGGCCACCGGATCTATTTAAGGAAAACTCATCCAGGGCCTTGACCAAAGTCTATATTCAGTTGGAAAGAGGGACAGAGAAAAAAATGTAGACACTTTGGGAAGCTGAGGCAGAAGGATCACTTGAGCCTAGAGTTCAAGACCAGCCTTGGGCACCATGGTGAGAACTCATCTCATTTGAAAAGAAACAGTCAACATTAGAAAACTGAGCAGGAACTTGTGATCAAACTAACTGCTATATTGGGAGATTCTTGAAGGCATGTTGGGGGAAGGGACGTTCCTAGCTCAGAATAGAAGAGAGAAAAGCACAGGCCAAGAGACAGGACGGCAGGTGGTAGTCAAGGGCCACCAGCAGTTACTTTGATGCCCTTCATAATGGCGTCACCAAACAGTGAGGCACGGCACACACTGAAGAGTACAGCATATCTGAGTGGAAAGATAAAAAATACTGTGTGTGGCATACTTGAAGTTGAGAACACTAGGCTTGCTGGCCACTCAGATGACCCCAGTGTTCTATTTATGTATTCCTTGCCTCAAGCAAGTCCAGCCCAGAGCTGATGAAAGAAAGGAAAACTCCAAGGTGCTCATCATACATGGCATTTGGTTTTCTGTTTATTTTCTTTTTTCTAGTAGAAACAGGGTTTCACCACAATGGCCAGACTGGTCTCAAACTCTTGACCGCAGGTGATCTGCCTGCCTCAGCCTCCCAAAATGCTGGGATTACAGGCCTTAGCCACCACATCTGGACCATATATGGCATTTGGAAATTGTTTTAGAACCTGGAATCAAAATCAGTGTTTTCTTTTTTATCCTTTCATTTTTACATAAAACATGTTGCCTGACTCTCATAGGGTTTTCCAATATACTGCTCCCTAGTTTTATAGTAGAAAAACTGAGATACAAAGTAGCCATAAAAAACAGGTTTATCGAATTTTTCTGGCTCCTAGCCTAATACCCGGATAAGCAGACCCCTGGTTGTTCTTGCTTGGACCGCTGACTTACCCACAGCTCCAAAGGAAACCAGGATGTTCTCCCGGGGGCTAATGTTCTTGTCATAAGGACGATATCCGTAGAGGTGGGCAGCGCTGTTCACCAGCCAGGTGGCATTAAGCACTACAGCATATCGCAAGAAAGTGGCAACGTACAAGCTGTGTTGAAAAGTTTCACCCCAGAAATAAAAGGGCACAAGTGTGGGCAGGATGAAGCACATCAGCAGCACACCAGGTTTGTAGTACCTACATTGAGACCAGACACCGTGTCAGTGGAGGGGACTCCACACCTACCTGGATCTTCCGCACTAACTGGGATGGGCTGTCTCTTTTCTCCGTCATGAGTACAGTATGGCAGACAACAGCAAGGGGGAATACGGTGGAAAACTCTTTTGAGAATGTGGCGTTACCTCACTTCTTAGATGAGGTGGTGGGGAGGGGTTAAATGACTTTTCTAGGATCATACCCATATCCACTATGACATGGTAGAGCAAGGAGTGAAAGCTGAATTGCTTGTCTCTGTCTCCTGACTCTCTAAGTTCACTGTTTTATTATTTGTTTGTTTGTTTTGACAGGGTCTCACTCTGTTGCCAAGGCTAAAGTGCAGTGGCATGACCATGGTTCACTGCAGCCTTGAACTCGTGGGCTCAAGAGATCCTCGCACCTCAGCCCCCTGAGTAGCTGCGGGACCACAGGTATGAACCATCATACCCATCTAGTTTTCAATTTTTTGTAGAGATGAGGTCTCACTACGTTGCCCAGGCTGGTCCTGAATGCCTGAGCTTTCAAACGATTGTCCCACTTCAGCCTCCCAAAGTGCTGGGATTATAGGCATGAGCCACCAAGCCCAGCCGTCACTGATTTTCACTAGCGCATAATACCACATTGGTAAAACAGGTAAGGTCCAAATTACAAACCAACGAACAGACTTCTTCATCCTTGACTGGTTTTCCAGTCTGCCTTTGGGCTCCTTTCTGTTTCCAGCAGCACTCTTAATCAGTCTGTGTTTAGTGTCATGCCTCCATTTGCTGCTAGCTACCCCCCAATTATTTGGTCTTCTTTTCCCTCAGAGGCCCATTGAGTGTCCTTGATCACCTGCAGCTCTCTGTCCCTCTGGAAGCCCTTTCTCAACCTTCATTCTCAATGTACACCAGGCCATTGACATTCCAAGGGCACTGATTCCCTATATCCCTTCAGCAGTCAAGTCTTTGACATTTACATCACTGATATTCCCTGCACCCAACTCTTTTTTCCATTTCTGCCACTGCTTCCCTAGCAGGGGTCCTCATTACCTAACTTATGTCCCTAACTCTTGCTTTGGCTCAATGGTTTCCTACACTTGCTCTGAAAGGAGGCTTCCTAAAGCACACGTCTAACTCCACCACACTGCAGTTCAAAAAATGTAATGGCTTCCTATTGCCTAAATCCTAAGTCTGCTTTTTGGACTCTACAAGAACGGCAGTCTCTCCAGTTTTACTTCTTCCCACACCCTATACTTCAAGGAAAAGGACTCTATTGCTGGAACATGCTTCAGGCTTTAGCTCCTTCTGTTTCTTGTGTTTGCACTGTCCCTCCCCACACATAGTTGTAGAAATTTCTATCCATCGGTGGATTCCAACACTACTTATGTCATAAACACCTCCTTGGCATTGCCCATTGAGCAATCTCCCTCCCCTTTGTACCTCTCACAGTACAGAAAATATTCTGCCTTATACCATGGTTATTCGGATACTTGGCTTATCCTTCCATCCCCTTAGAGGCTACAAACTTTTTGAAGGTAAGAACAAAGCTACCAGCCTGGGAAATATAGCAACTGAGACCTTGTCTCCACAAATATTAGCCAGGCATGGTGGTCTGTGCCTGTAGTCCCAAAAACTTGGGAGGCTAAGGTGGAAGGATTGTTTGAGCCTGGGATGTCAAGGCTGCAGTGAACCAAGATTGTGCCACTGCACTCCTGCCTGGGCAACAGAGAAAGACTCTGTTAAAAATAAAAAAATTGAAACACCTAGGCAACTAGGCTATCATCATCTTTGAATCTATGACTGTCCTAGGTCAACAAACATCTGTTGAACGTAATGAGTTTAATTAAGATAGCTCAGAAAGAACGAAACAGAGCAATAGTCTATGGCTATGCGCCTGTGGGACGTTACAAATTGGGATTTTAAATTATGAGTGTGAACATGCAAACCCAGTCCATTTCTCAGCATATATATTACAATCTAGAATATGCTCCTAAACTCAGCTTCTATTTTGTAAGTCTTAGGAGAAAAGATGGAGTCCCTAACCACGAGGTGCCAGGGCCATATCCCCACCTCCATCAGGCCTTCACTCACCTCCTCTGGAACATCACCAGTTTCTCAGCTTTTAGGTCAGACAAGTCCAGCGTACCGCCCTTCTCTTTGACAGCTGGGTGTTTGCGCACAAGCAGCCAGCCCACGTGAGAAAAGAAAAAGCCACGTCGGGAATTATGAGGATCAGCATCTGTTTCTGAAAACTTGTGGTGGGCACGGTGGTCACGAGCCCATTCAAAGACATCATTCTGGGGAGAGAGAGAAGAGGAATGTAAGGCTGGAGGATAGACACGCTCTTAGGAGAATTCCAATGGACAGTTATCAATAGCCCAAGGCTCTCAGCCCAACCTTACAAAATACCCAGGAATCTGGGCTCCAAAGGAGTTATGGAGTTACCTTCCCTCTTCTCCCAACTTGCCACTGAAGCTTAAGTGGAAAAAGCAACTTAAAACCCCAAGACCACAGGAATAGGACTGCTGTTTCCTGAAAGTTATATGGTGGGCGGAATGGAGGTAAATCATACAGAGCTCAGAGAGTTTCAAGAAGCGAGAACATTACAATTCTTTAAGCCAGGAATGTTGGAAAAGATCCTCATGGGGTACCTAATCCCTGGGCATGGAGAACATGAGCCAGACAGCCTTGTGTCCTAAGGTCTCAATCAGTAGATAAAGCTGTAAAGGCACCACCATTCTGGTGCCTTGTAAAAGAGAGCTCAGATAACCCAATAATAAGGCCAGGCATGCAACTCGTTCATGGCTGCATTTGCAAACGGACTCTGGGCTTCTCCATGACTTTTTCCATCCCTTAAAGAATGTACCAATATCTTGGGCTGGGTGCAGTGGCTAATGCCTGTAATCTTAGCACATTGGAGGCTGAGGCAGGTGGATTACCTGAACTCAGGAGTTCAAGACCAGCCTGGGCAACATAGCAAAACCCCATCTCTACTAAAATCCCAAGAATGTACCAATAACTCTCTTCCCTCCTTTCGCCCCACAGGACAACCTCAGAAGCCTTCAAGGTATAAGCTGCTATGGCAGAGATGATTATGCAAATGTGGTAAGTTCTTGGGATATTGCCATGACTTAAGTTGGTTTCCTTTATTCCTCTTGCTCCAAGCTAAGCCCCACACCACATGCTATAATTTGCCCATTGCTACAGTTTCATGGTATGATGTGTTCCCTTTCCCCACTTCCCTTCATTCTGTCTTTGCTATAAACTTTTTGCCTCAACAAACCTGTGATTTTACTTAGCCAGCATGACACCCCAAGAAAGGGCCACAATGTTGGGGTGGTCTATATAATCTCTGTGACTTGGTTTCCTCATCTGTAAAATGGGGATAATAATAGTATCTGCTTCCTAAGATTGTTGTGAGGACTTTATAACAAATGCTTAAATAGTGCCAGGCACATAGTGCAGTAAAAGTTGTCTGTTCTCATTATCTGAAAATAAGAGTTCATGAGTCTGGGAACATCAACTTCGGTCCCACTGTGGTAGAGTCCTCAGTTACTCACTTTTTTTTTTTTTTTGAGACAGTATACTCTGTCACCAGGCTGGAGTGCAATGGCATGATCTCGGCTCACTACAACCTCCGCTTCCTGGGTTCAAGCGATTCTCCTACCTCAGCCTTCCGAGTAGCGGGACTACAGGCATGCGCCACCGTACCCAGCTAATTTTTTATTTTTAGTAGAGACAGGGTTTCACCATCTTGGGCCAGGATGGTCTCGATCTCTTGACCTCACGATCCGCCCCTCTTGGCCTCCCAAAGTGCTGGGATTTACAGGCGTGAGCCACCATGCCTGGCGAAGTTGTTCACTTAAAAAAATTTTTTTTTTAAAAGTTGGGGTCTCATCACCCAGGCTGCAGTGCAGTGGTGATATTATGGCTCACTGCAGCTTCAAACTCCTGGGCTCCAGCAATCCTCCCACTTCTGCCTCCCTAGTACTAAGATACTGATCTTAAATAGTGAATTTATTGTCCAATGTCTGCCCAGGCACCCAAGGTCAGTCTCTGGCTTATGTGCCAAAGCCCCTTATGATGAAGAGCCTCAACAGCCAGACTGTGTGACAACACAGGGACCTTAGGATCAAAAATAATCCTACACACCAGCGTATTTCCCATTTATCTTCCAGTTCCCTTTTCCAAGACTCAGAAGTCTCTTCAGCCTTTATGGACTTAAGGACTAAACTGGCACTTGAGGTGACCAAGGAGAGAAGAAAGTGAAACCGCTGCCCAGGTGTGGCTCCTCTCTGGCTGCAGATCCCTCTTTTCTGCCCCCAGATCTTTGATAGGGTGGAGGACAAACGGTTGAGCAGAGACAGCTTCTTACCTGGAATGCCATTGTGTTGGCAATGATCAGAAAGACCCGCAGGGGCAGCCGAGCTTTGTAAGTTCGGTGGCTCCACAGGCGATGAACTCCCGCTGTTATGCCCAGGGCACTGACAAAATAGTAGAATAACCCTGCCAGGAGAAGACAATGGGGGAGTCACCAACCAGTGTGAGTTCGATCTGGGGAAGGATGCCAGAGACACTCTCTGGATGTTACAAACTGTGTCTTCTTCAGGCTTAGGGTGAAAACTGCCTTACCATGAACTCTAGGGATAACCATGTCCCTTGCTTTCACCACTTGAAAAATCATCACCCCTCAGACTCTCAAAGATAAAAAAGATTAAGCAAAGGAATCCCAAGAACTAAGGAGTCAGAAAGGCAGGAGAGAGAATAATGCTCTTACCACTCATTCTTTATCCGGAACGCGTTCTTCCAGGGCCTAGCTATCTCCTTTCACTTCTGTCTAGGCCTTCTCTAAGGCTTTTCTTTTTTGAGACAGTCTCACTCTGTCACCCAGGCTGGAATGCAATGGTGCGATCTCGGCTCACCGCAACCTCTGCCTCCTGGGTTCAAGCAATTCTCTGCCTCAGCCTCCTGAGTAGCTGGGATTACAGGCACACATCACCACACCTGGCTAACTTTTGTATTTTTAGTAGAGATGGGGTTTCACCATCTTGGCCAGGCTGGTCTTGAACTCCTGACCACATGATCCACCTGACTCAGACTCCCAAAGTGCTGGGATTACAGGTGTGAGCCACCACATCCGGTCGCCTTCTCTAAGGTTTTAAGGGCCACAAACTACTCCTACAGAGCTCAGGATTCATAAGCAAGGGTGTTATTAAAATAACAGCAGAGGGCCAGGTGCGGTGGCTCACACTTGTCATCCCAGCTCTTTGGGAGGCCAAGGCAGGAGGATCCCTTGAGTCCAGGAGTTCGAGACCAGCCTCGGTAACATAGGGAGACCTTGTCTCTAGATAATTTTAAAAATTAGCTGGGCATGGTGGCATCTGCCAGTGGTTCCAGCTACTCCACAGGTTGAAGTGAGGGGATCTCGAGCCCATTAGGTCAAGGCTGCGGTGAGCCATGATTGTGCCACTGCACTGATGCCTGATCAACAGAGCAAGACCTTACCTCAAAAAACAACAGCCAATACAATATGGGCACTGACCAACTTGACAAGCCCTTAGCTGTAGGGGACTCAGAACTATGGCCATTTATCAACTGGTACAGAAAAGCACGTCAATATTCTAGCAGGCAGTGTGGCCATATAAGGGGAAAATTAGCCCTGCACTTAAGCCCTATTTGCACAGTGTCTTAAGTTTGACCAAGGATTTTAATATTCTCCACTTTATTCGGTACCTTCAATGGGGTTAGGTGGTATTAATACCCTCACTTTGCAGCTGAAGAAATAGATGCTCAGAAAGGTGAAGTGTTTATCTAGGGTCACATGGCTAGTAAGAAATGAAGCCACGGTTTGAAGCTACATTTTCTGTTGACAAGCAGTTCACCTTCTAGCTATACTATCCATCTCCCTGAGACCCGTGCACAGCTCCTGAGTGTCTCCTTTGCCTCGTCCCTGTCAGACCATACTCTTATGGGCAATGCTCCTTCTAGACAATGGTGGGATATTCTTCAAGCTGTCAGTGCAGCTCCCCACCATTGTCTTCCCTCACCTTCCTGGAGGCCTGGAGGCCCAAGAGGTGCCAGAAATAATCTCTAACTGGGAAGTGGGTGGCTGAGCACCCATTTCTTCCTCTGTTCAGTTGCTCTAGCAGGCAGCTGTGGCCTTGGTAGAAACCTTTAACAATGTTTCATTCCTAGGGAAACAGCTAGAAACAATAGAGCCTCAGTGGCCACAGAGCTTAGTTGCAGCTGGAGACACCACACATTGTAACAAACTGTCCTGTGTTCTTTTGCAGCCGCTTCCTAAACAACCTCCTTTTTCCCCAATGCTACCTCCATTTTTCTTTCCTTTTCCTCCTATAGAATCTCCAGGAGAGCCATATGGTCAGAGTCAGCCTCAACAAGAGCTCTCTCCACACTGCCTCAGAGTGGGGATTAAGGCCCCAGGTGATCTGGCTTCAAGCCAAGTGGTGACCACCATCTCCCCAAATGCCGTAGCTAACCTGCATGTTACCCAGAAATCCATCCGTTGAGCCAGAGCCCTCTCTAATGACCAAAGGAGCTTCTGGGGTTGTTTCTTGCCACATAATATGCTGGGGTAAGTTGACTCAGAAAGTACATAAAATCTTATGTTAACAGGGAAATTGGGACAAGAACTCAGGCACTCTGGTGCCTTTTCCGGAAACACCTTTAGGCCTATCAAATAGAAGGGCTTAAAACAGTTGGAGATTCAGTCCCTCTCTCTTCCCCAGGGGAAGAAATACTAATGTCCAAATTGATGGTTAAGCAACATCTCATTGCTCTGGCCTTAAGAAAGAGACTTGAAGGGTTTTGCCTCTGGCTCTCAGTGTTGCCAGAGGTTTTCTCCTCAGTCCTGCCCTAAGGGCTCCTTTGGGAGACTCCAAAATGAAAAAAGGGCTATAAGGTTCTCAAAAGTGCTCAGTCATAAGAAATGCTGGAATCACGAGCAGTTGCTAACATCGTCTGTAGGGATTAAAACCAGAAAGACGAAGCTCCTAAACTCTGAAGGTGGGAAGAGAAGACGCCCAGGTTGAGACCTCTGACCCTCCTCCCCTCATCCGCCCTGTTTCTTCAGACAGAGTTCTGATACTCCCATATTAAGATGGTCATTCTGTCAGCTAAGCCATCCACCAAAGGGCCCAGTAAAGTAAGTTACCATCCAGTCTCTGTGAGCCAAGTTTCTCTGCCTGAAGGCACAGCACACACCCATGGGCAAGTCACCAAAATAAAGGTAGCAGGCACAGCCTTGGCTGAGAGTATTCTGCTTCCTGTCCTAGCAGCTGAAGGTGACCAAGCAGAGTCAATTGGGTCAAACTCTGGGCTTCAGAAGACCTACAGGGAGTGCTGAGGCTGGAAGGAGCTTACAGGTGAGAAAACTACTACTTGTGAAGACTCTCCTCTTGGGGAGAAAGGGTGGAGAGGCATCCACAGACTCCCTGGGGAATCCTATCCTGGCTCTTCATCCTTCATGCTGCAAAAGAAGTTCTGCTGGATCCTCAGAGGGGCTAGACAACACATGTCGTCCTCCCCTCACTAATACAAGAGCCCTTCCTGGTATGCAGATGAACTCATCTGCACCTGGCCTGTTCTTTCTGTCTCTACCACAGCTGCAACACATATGTAACCCAAGGAATGCTACCTTCCTAATCCTAAGAAAGTACTGTTGCCCACAGGTGGCACCTAGAAAAACAGAGATCCTGACAAAGGAGCTCTTCTCAGTTGCATTTCACTGTAGCACCTGGAGGATTTCCCAAAACAAACTTAGTGAACCAGATCTCACCATCTTTGGAAGACCTAAGAGGTCCTGAGGGAAACAGCTAAAACTTGGCCTACTAGCCCTTCTGCATAACTGCCCACCAAGGGTCAGCTGTCAGGTATCCCACACCCAGGCTGTTCTGAAAAACCTCAAGTTGTTTTCTGGAAGAGTAGTCCTGGCTCAGTATCCCTTAGAGAGTAGCAATGCGGAGCCCCTGGTCTGCAGAGCTTCCTGCTGTCCCTTCCCAACTTAGGCTCATGGTGGCAGAGGTGAAAAAGGCTGCAAAGCACATGTGTGTATCCAGGGGGCAGGGCCATGCCATCAGGCCAATGGGTCCCTGAAACAGCTGAGCTAAGGGCAGGTCAGGGACAAACTGGAAACTGTCTCCCTCATTACAGCAGACTTAAGACCAAGGTCTCTTTTCTGAGGGCTCTTTTCTGGCCTTGCCTCGACATCCCTGGCAAGGAGGGATGGGTAGGACTGGTATTAGAAGGTTCAGAATTCTTGGCACTTCACTGCATCAGCAGGGGTGGGGGTCCGGGGGGAGGGGCCTGGAGCAGGCTGGATGGGAGATGGAACATGAAACATTTCTTCAACCTGATTTCATTCTAAGAGCATTTTGTTGACTGGCTTGTGCACCCTGGAGACCTAAGCAGAGTAACAGACCAACACACATCTGTGCGACTTGGGTGACGTGGGAGCTTCTTCATCTTCCTCTGTAACAAAGAAGCCTGCTCTGGCCCAGGGATAAGGGCAAAATAGTTTTGTGGATGACGACCTATGTTCCTCCCTTTCCAACGAACTCTCTCCCTGACTAGTTTCCCTCTGCCCTAGCCCGTGACTGCTCAACACAGACCCTAGAAAGCCAATGGTTTAGTACCAAGTTCCCATGCCTCCCAGGTAGAGGGCTTTGATTCTTTTGTGGCTGGCAGGGGTGGGACAGGCAGCCAAGCAACTGACTCAAACAGAAAGACTCTTTCAGGAAAAGCTGACTCCAGCACAGGTCTACACTTCAAGGCCCACAGCACATGGTCCCAGAGCTCTCAATGTCCCCAGCACTGACATTCCTGCATTTCAGTCCCCGCCTCCCCACCAAGGCTCTATTCCCAGCCCACTAGGCCTGAAGCAACCGAAGAGAAATGCCTGACAAAAACCCCAGCCGGGAGGCTGGGAGGGGCTGGAGTTCTATGTAAGATCCTATCTTATTAGAAGAGCAGTGAGTACCTGGAGGACTGAGTCAGGAGGACAGGGAGGCTGCTTACCCCAAAGCCAGGTGTAGAACTTGCAGGTAGGAATCAAAATGATCCCATACAGGGCGCCCAAGTGTAGCAGAGACATCAGGATGATGTTTCTCCAGACATACTCAACCTTGGGCCTTGGGCCTTCCTTATCCTTGTAGGTGGGGTCATATATATCATCTTTCATATCTGGGCGAATGTCTTCTTCCAAATAGAGGGGCGTCTTCTCCAACTTATCTCCTCCATTCTGCGGGACCCTGGAGGGAGGCGCTGTGATGGTGGTGGTGGTGGTATAGGAGCTAGAGATCTGGAAGGGAGAGGAAGCAGAGAGTCTGGAGAGGAGACACGGAGAGTCATGAGGAGACACGTGGAGGTAGCTGGGGCTACTCGGCTCTCTAATCACACTGGGGGAAGGGAGGACAGCACAAGCACAGACCCTCCCCCAGCGCCCGGGTTCACTGAAGATAGGGGTGTATGCCAGATGCAACGGAGAGAAGTTCCCAGAAACTGTGCAGATGGATTAGGGGCGGAGGGCGAGGGGGCGGAGGGCGGAGAACGAGGGGGGTGGGAGGCGAGGGGCGAGAAACCTACGGGAGGCGGCAGTAGGAAGGAGATGTAAAGCACTCACATCCACACGAACACAAAGGAAAACCTGCATAATTCATAAAAGCACTAGCACGAACGGATTTTTCTTTACTTTAAAGCTTAAGAAAAGTTGGAGACTCAAATCTCCCAATTACAATCCACATTCCCAACTCACTGAAGGCAGCACAACTCGAAAAGGACGCCCAAGTCCTCCGCGAAGCTCTCCCCTCTCTTCTGCCGCCAACCCGTCCCCTGGAATCCCAGCCCGCGCCGGCGACCCTGCGGTGCGGGGCCAGGCTGGGAAGCTCACCTCCTCCTGCAGCAAGTGGGCCGGCATCTTGGCTCTCGGATGCCGAGATCACTTTCCAGGGGCTGAGGCTGCGGAGCGGAGTTCGGGGGCGCCGGGGGACTTCGGTTTCAGAGCTCGCCGGTGCACGCTGGATGGGTGTCGGGGCCCGAGCCGCAGTGCGTGGAGGTTCCCGAGCCGGGAATTTAAAGGCTAGAGCTGGCAGTGGGTGACCGTATCCTGTATTTTTTCAGCCCCCGTTTTATGCGCTGCCAAGCAGGGGCAAAGTGCGCGGAGTTGACTGGCGCGGGCGGCCCCGCGTGGAGGTGAGGGCGGGACGGGGAGGAGACAGAGGCCGAGGCTCGAAGCAATAGCAGCCGGGCGCCGGGATGCTGCCGACACCGACACCGCACCGCCGGGCCCCGGCCCCTGCCCCTGCCCCTGGGGAAATGCTAATGAGGCTCCTGTAAACTCCGGCTTGTCATTGGCCGAAGGGAATTTGGTGCCACCTCGTCCTGCCGTTGCCATTGGCTCGGCGCAATCTGCTGTTCCCTCTGCCGCCAGCTCCTCGCTCCCCCTCCCCTCCCTTTCTCCTCGGCTTCTCTTCCACCGGCCGCTGGGCCTCTGCCCGGCATCCCGCGTCGGGAGCTTTCTCTCTGGAAGGGGCTGGGGCCCCTGTTTGGGGCTGGGGCGCGGGGTCTAGCCCAGGACCGGCCCGGGGCACTCGGCGAATGGGTGGGTGGGCACTGGGGAAGTTTCTCAGGAAACGGTGGGGAAGCCTCGGGGGCGCCCACTACTACTCACAACTCGGTCCCATCTTCCCGTCTCCCCAGGCGCTTGGCAGGGGGACCTGGCCGCCACCCTGGGGTCAGGGGACGCGGGAAGCCCCGCCTCCCTCTCGGGCGAGCGTCGGGGGCTCGGTCCTCGGACGAACAATGGCTCTGCCCCGCCCACCAGCCACGCGCTGCTCACCCGGGACCGCACCGGACTCCGGCCCCACAGACTGACTGACTGGTGTGTGTGCCCGCGCGCACGCACCCTGTTCAGGCCCCGGGCGGGCAGTCCCATCCCCTTCCCGCGTCTCCAGGTTGCGTGCGGGACGTTTTGGAGATTCTTCAGACTGACAGATTGTAATTTTGGAATCTTCTTCGTGGAAAGAGGCAGGAAACACTCGCATGTGCTTTCACCCAGCAGCAGGCGAAAGGGCTTGGATGTGGAATAAGAATAGCTGGCAGGTATCGAATTGTTTACTGCCAGCCAATTCACAAGAATCATTTTCTGTAATCCTCACTGTGACCCTGGGAGGTGGGTACCCCATTATTCTATTTTAAAAGTGAGGAAAGTGAGATATGAAGAGATGGAATAACTTGCCCATATTCACGGCAGCCAGTAAGTGATGGAGCTGGCAGTTGAGCTGAAACAGAAACGCCGTATGAGAGCCCTGATCTGTCCCTGTGCCCCATCTTTTTCCGGCCTGTGGGAGCCTTACCATGAGAGCTCTGTACCAGGCAGATTATGCATTCACCCGGTGTCCTTCCATGCCCATGTCTCCCCGAATACTGAATACTGCCCCGGGGTCCTTCCTCTGCGAAAGGGAGAAAACAGGCAGTGCTGTGCCAAATGATTCGCTTCTTGAAAGAGAAGCACCTGAGATTTCCTGGGAGGAAGACTAAGCAGCTCCCTTCTTGGCCACTGGTCTCAGGGTCAGGCCAACTGTCTGGCCAGTGACCAGGAGCCTGCATTCCAGTCCTGGCTCCCTGTCCGGTATGAAAGCTCTGAACAGGACTGGATGATTTTAGATGTAGACAGCTCATCTAGTCATGTCTCAGAAGTACTTGGTGTGTGGTGTAGAAATCTGTACATGGGCTGCCGCCCTTCAGGTTCTCTCTGCAATGTCTATTTGCTTAATTTTTTTTTTTTTTTGAGACGGAGTTTCGCTCTTGTTGCTCAGGCTGGAGTGCAATGGCGCGATCTCGGCTCTCCACAACTTCCGCCTCCCAGGTTCAAGCCATTCTCCTGCCTCAGTCTCCCAAGTAGCTGGGATTACAGGCATGCGCTACCCCCCCTCAGCTAATTCTTTTGTATTTTTAGTAGAGACGGGGTTTCACCATGTTGGCCAGGTTGGTCTCAAACTCCTGACCTCGGGTGATCCTCTCGCCTTGGCCTCCCAAAGTGATGGGATTACAGGTGTGAGCCTGTATTATTTTCAAAATAAAGAAAAGTTTGATTTTTATTATTTTGTTTACATCCAAGCTCCTTAATTTGGGTATTCAAAGTGCTTCATTATTTTAATCTGAACACCCTGTTCCAGCCTTAATTTTCACTTCCTACTTAATATCATTTGTACCTTCATCAAACTGCACATTTGTCAATAGAAGATAGGAAAACTAAAAAAAAAAAAACCAAACAAACAAAAACCCTACACTGTTGCTTGCTTGCTTTTTTTTTTCTTTTTTTTTTGAGACAGAACTTTGCTTGTTGCCCAGGCTGGAGTGCAATGGCACTATCTCGGCTCACCACAACCTTTGCCTCCTGGGTTCAAGCAATTCTGCTCAGCCTCCCAAGTAGCTGGGATTATAGATGCACACCACCACATCTGCTATTTTTTTTTTTGGCATTTTTCGTAAAGGCGGGGTTTCTCCATGTTGGTCAGGCTGGTCTTGAACTCCCACCTCAGGTGATCCAGCCACCTCGGCCTCCCAAAGTGCTGGGATTACAGGTGTGAACCACGGCACCCAGCCCTACTCTTGCTGATTTCTAAATATGCTTCATCTTCTCAAGTTTTTCTTCCCCTGAACTCTGTCAAAATATTACCCATGATCCAGCAATTCCACTCCTAGATATAAACCCAAGAGAAAAGAAAACGTATGTTCACACAAATTTATATATGATTATTCATAGAAGTATTATTTATAATCGCCAAAAAGTCGAAACAACCTAATTGTCAACTACTGAACAAATAAGATGAGGTTTCCAGGCATACTGACTCAGGCCTGTAATCCCAGCACTTTGGGAAGAGAAGGTGGGAGGATGATGGCAACATAGTGAGACCTTGTCTCAACAACAAAAATAACAGCCCAAGGAAGTAGCAAGAGAAAGACCTTGTCTATACTAAAAATAATAATTGTTTTAGGTCAGGCACAGTAGGTCACGCCTGTACTCCCAGCACTTTGGGAGGCTGTGGCAGGTGGGTCACGAGGTCAGGAGTTCAAGACCAGCCTGGTCAACATGGTGAAACCTCTTCTCTACTAAAAATACAAAAATTAACTGGGCTTGGTGATGGGCTCCTGTAATCCCAGCTACTTGGGAGGCTGAGGCAGGAAAATCACTTGAACCCAGGACGTGGAGGTTGCAGTGAGGCGGGAGAAGTGCTTGAGCCCAGGAGGGGGAGGCTGCCGTGAGCTATTACTATGCCACTGCACTCCAGCCTAGGCAACAGAGTTATATCCTGTTTCAAGAAAAAAAGTATTAGCTGGGCATGGTGGCATGTGTCTATAGTCCCAGCTACTTGGGAGGCTAGGCAGGAGTATCACTTGATCCCGGGAAGTCAAGACTGCAGTGAGCTGTCATCGTGCCTCTGCACTCCAGCGTGGGTAAGAAAGTGAGACCTTGTCTCAAAACAACAACAAAAAAGAAAGAAAATAAGTATATAAAATGAAAATTAAAAAATAACAATTAGCCAGGCATGGCGGTTATATGCCTGTAGTTCTAGCTACTCTGGAGGCTGGGGTGGGAGGATCGCTTGAGCCAGGAGTTTGAGGTTACAGTGAACTATGATTGTGAGCCTAGGTGACAGAGTAAGACCCTGTCTCTAATAATAATAAGAAGAAGATGTGGGAAACCCACATAATGGAATATTATTTGAGAATAAAAAAGAATAAAGTACTGCTAGATACTATAACATAAATGAGCTTTAAAAATTTAATGCTAAGTGAAAGAAGTCAGTCACAGGCTAAGTGAAATAAAGTCCCCCATGTTGTTTGGTTCCATTTATATGAAATGTCCAGAATTGGCACATTTATACAGAGAGAAAGTAGATTGGTGGTTGCCCAGGGTTTGGAAGGAGGATCGAGGATGTTGGTGGGTGATGGCTAAGGAATTCAGGGTTTATTGTTGGAGTAATAAAAATGTTCTAAAATTGATTGTGGTGATGAATGCACACCTGTGAATATACTAAAAGCCATTAAATTGGCTGATTTAATGGATGAATTCTGTAGTATATAAAGTATATCTCAATAAGAAAAGTTATTTATTTATTTTTGTTTGTTTGTTTTTTTAAATAACTTAAGGCTGGGCATGGTGGCTCATACCTGTAATCCTAGCACTTTGGGAGGCGGAGGCAGGTGGATCGCCTGAGGTCAGGAGTTCTAGATCAGGCTGGGCAACATGGCAAAACCTACTAAAAATACAAATAATTAGCTGGGCATGGTTTCGGGTGCCTATAATCCCAGCTGCTCTGGAGGCTGAGGCAGAAGAATTGCTTGAACCCAGGGGGTGGGGGTGGAGGTTGCAGTGAGCTGAGATTGCACCACTGCACTCCAGCTTGGGTGAAAAGAGCAAAATTCCATCTCAAAAAAAAAAAGTCAGCCAGGCGTGGTGGCTCATGCCTGTAATCCCAGCACTTTGGGAGGCCAAGGAGGGAGGATCATGAGGTCAGGAGATTGGGACCATCCTGGCTAACATAGTGAAACCTGTCTCTACTAAAAATACAAAAATTAGCCGGGTGCGGGGGCACATGCCTGTAATCCCAGCTACTCGGGTGGCTGAGGCAGGAGAATCGCTTGAATCCGGGAGGCGGAGGTTGCAGTGAGCCGAGATCGTGCCATTACATGTTAGCCTGGGCAACAGAGTGAGACTCCATCTCAAAAAAAAAAAAAAAAATCTAAAATGCGATACTACTACACACTTACTAGAATGACCAAATTAAAAAAGGCTGAGAACAACTGGAACTCGCATACATTGCTGGTGGGAGCATGATGTGATACAACTACTTTGGAAAACAATGTGGCAGTTTCTTGTAATGTTAAATGTTCATCTATCCCAAGACCCAGCCGTTTAATTCCTAGGAGTTTCCTCAAGCAAAATGAAACATATGCCCACAAAAAGACTTATACGAGAAAATTTATGGTAGTTTCATTTAGAATAGCTTCAAATAGGGAATATTACAAAAGTTCATCAATAGGAAAATGGATTAACAATTTATGGAATATTCATACAATAGACAATAAAAAAAATGAACTTCAGGAACAAGGCAAGGATGTCTCATCTCATCACTCCTTTTCAACATTGTGTTGGAAGTCCTAGCTAATCAGACAAAAAAGGAAATAGACAAATAGATTCATGGAACAAAATAGAGATCCCCCAAATAGACCCAAGTAAATATAGTCAACTGATCTTTGACAAAGGAGCAAAGACAATGCAATGGAAGTAAACAGTAAATGGTGATGAAACCACTGGACATCACTCAAAAAAACAAATCTAGGCACAGACCTTGCACCCTTCCCAAATACTAACTCAAAGTGGATTATAGATCTAACTGTAAATGTAAGACTGTAAAACTCCTCAAAGATGACATAGAGAAAATCTAGGTGAGCCTTGGGTTTGGCAATGACTTTTTAAATATGTGAAAGGCATGATCTATGAAATAAATAATTGATAAATTAGACTTCATTACAATTAAAATTTTCTGCTCTGTGAAAAACACTCTGAAGAAAATGAAAAGACAAGCCACAGACTGGGAGAAAATATTTGCAAAAGACATTATCTGGTGAAGGACTATTACACAAAATACACAGAGCTCTTGAGACTCAACAATAAGAAAATGAATAACCCAATTTTAAAATGGGCCAAAGACCTGAACATACATCTCACCAAAAAATAAATAAATAAATAGAGCTGGCCAATAAGCATAGGAAAATGCTCGATATCAGGGAAATGCAAATTAAAGCAACAAGTTACTACTACATACCTATTAGAATCGCCAAAATCCAGAACACTGACATAT